ACCCCCCCCCCCCCCCCCCCCCTCCCTTCCTCCGCCTGTATCCCCTGCTAACCTCTCTGGCGGGGCTTGGTGCGCTGTTTCGGAACAGGTGATGGCTAGGCTGTGGGTGCGAAATGGGCTTTCGGCGCAGCATCAAGTGGTGAGTTGTTGCTTGCATGTTTTAGAGCAGCAAGCGATTTCATCATCATCCGTCCCTTGTCTACCCCTGGGTACAGTAGCAAAATCGAGAGGTTGACGGAAAGTAGCGGTGTAGTAGCTCTAGATTTGGCGCTGTGTGTGTGTATTTCGGTATCTCACTTGTTTTGGTGCCAGAGCAGCAAGCGACTCACCCGACCCGCCTCTTGTCTAGCCTAGCCCTGGGTAGCGAAAATCGAAAGCATGACGGTACAGCGGTAGTGGCGGTGAAACCCGCAGCCGTACATTTCCCGGCGTAAAGGCAGCAGTGCCGGGGGTGCATCTAATGGGACCGCCTCCGGGAGGATTGTATACTATTAATCAATGAAATAGAGAGGGGGGGGGGGGGGTTCGAATCCCTAGCCGTAGCCGTAGCCGCACCTACTAGTGCTTAGTGATCCTCGCGAACGCTAAATACTGTTTTTTTTTGCAGCGAGCATGATGAGCACGACCTTTTTCTATTCTCTTCGTCGGCGTGTGTTATTTGGGCTTCGATGACCGACCGCGTCAGAACTACCATGGTATTAGCTACAAGGCAAGAGACCTACAGGACGCTTCTGTAAAAACTTGAACGACCGTAATAAAAAAAAGAATATGGCGATGACCGAACGGTGAACATGGGATGAATAATAAGAACATGACGATAACCAAACGGTGAACAAGGGATGAAAAAAAAAACAGAAAATAAGGACGAAGCAGCTGATTATAATGCCTGCTTTACGTTACGGTTCGACACGTCTGTCGTTTTTTGTTTTTTTTTGTGAAGGGGAACTACTCGTCGCCGTCCTTGTGCCGGCACATGCGAGACCTCGACATGGTTGCCCTCCAGGTGGGCTGCCTGCACATGGGCGCGGAGAACTTCCTCGGCCTGCTGATCGACAAGTTCGCCCTCGAGGAGTGAGTGTTGTTGTTGTTGTTGTTGTTGTTGTTGTTGTTGAGTCGTTGTTGCTTCTGCTACTGCTGCTACTGCTGCTGCGGTCATCGCTGTCGCCGTTGCTGCTGCTGATGTTGTTGCTACAAACTTCGTTGCTGCTGCTGCTGCTGGTACTGGTACTGGTAGTGGTAGTGCTGATGCTGTTCTTGCCTACTCCGTCTATTTATTTTTCTCTGTGCGTGATCAATTTGAGTGGTTCGCCAGTTCGACCTCCAACGCGTATCATTTCATGCCGAGGCTCGCGTCTGAGACTCACACAGCACTGGGTTTTTCTAGTGGTGACTCGTGCATCGAACCCGCTTAGTGTATGTGTGTGACCCCAAAGCGCGACCAAGCATACCGAAAGGTTGCGAGTCAGCGCGCAGGGGTGCGAACGATTTTCCAAGCGTAATTTCTCCGCAACCAGGAGGTTACCGCTGTCGCAACGGGCGGTTTTGGAAATATCTCATCGAGAGCTTTCCTGATAAGTATCAGTTGGCGCTCGTACCCTCTTCCTGGTTGCGGAGAAATTATGCTTTGAAAATCGATCGCACCCCTGTGCGCTGACTCGCAACCTTACGGTACGCCCTTTGTGAGAGCAAAAGGACCAGGTGCACACCTCTCCTACTACGTGTTGCCAGACGCTGCCTTGTAAAATATTCCCACAACGATCAGCGAGGAGTAGAGGTACACGTCGATGCCGATGGCATGCGCGATCAAGTCGTCCACCACAAGATGCGCAAGATTTACGAAAATTCAGTTGAGATTTGTCACCTCTGAAAGGTGCGCTCCAAAACTTTAACTTTTATCGAAATATTTTGTCTGATACATGAGCCCACGCCTTTGACTCCGATCCTGATCACCCCCCCCCCCCCGCGATGATCCATCCTCTCGAGGACAAGTGGTCAATGGCCTAACAATTACGCCACGCAAAACATGAGCATGTCCCCCCCCCCCTCCCCGCCCCCGGTAGGCTTCTCCTTGAACCTGTCCCTGAGGGTGAGACGACCGCGGCGGCATCGGTACAACCGCCGACACCGCCAGGTCGCCTGCAGCAGAGTAACGGCAGCGGTAGCAGCAGCAGCAGCGGTGGTGCGCCAGCGGTCGGGCCTCAGCTTCCGCTCCCCCCGTTCCTGCCCCTGCCCACCGGCGTAGCGGTAGGGGCGGCTGCGGTAGCGGCGCCGCCTTCCGCGGCTGCGGCTGCGGCGGCGGCGGCGACCGCGGCGGCAGCGGAGAAGGCGGCCGAGCTGAGGAAGATCCCGGAGGGGGCCCGCCTGCTCCTGGCCGAGGAGTTCCTGTCGCTGCTCGTGATGCTGCTTACAGAGCTCCCGAGGCCCGCGGGGAGGGCGTCGGCGAGGGGAGCGCTGCGGAGGGAGGTGGTGCACCGGCTCGCCAGCTCGGAGTGCACGCATAGCGAGGTGGCCGCGGTCACCGCTAACCTGATGGAGGTGAGGGAAGGGTAGCGTTGTGAGGAGGGGGGGCGGGGGTTTAGCGTTACGCTGCGCTCGTGGCAGGAGGAGGAGCTGACTGGTGTACTGGTTTTTGAGGAGCTGGACCCCGCCCCCCCGTTTCCCGTGCACTCCGATTCCTCTGCCGAGAATGAACGTGCTGCGCTCACTCCCTCTGCCCACACACGTCACACCCATTTCTGTCACCCGTTGCGTTTTCTTCCTGCTCTTCTTGCGTGTGCATTTCCTCTCTTGCCGTTGTCAAGTACCGTAACCTGGTTGTTGTCACTCTCGCTCCCCCCCCTCCCCCCCCTTCCCGTCTGGTTGACCCCGCCGCCGCCCCTTCCTTCCTTCCCTTATCAGCCTGAGCCCGAAGAATTCCTCGACCAAGTTCTCCACGAGGTCGGCGAGGTGCGAGGCCGTTCCTCCGCCTCCGCCCGTGCCGCCGCTGCTGCCGCCGCTTCCGCCGCCGCTTCCGCAGAGGGAGGTGCCGGCGGCGATGCTGGCAGCGGCGGCGGCGGAGGCGGGGCGACGAAGTACAGCCTTGCCGCGGCGGCCGCGTGCGAGTACGACCCCACGTTCGTCCGCCTCAACAGGACGGAACACCAGGTAAAAAGAAGAATAAGAAAAAGAAGCAGGGACGACGCGAGTACGCAGGCCTTGGTTGGTTGGGCATTCGGTCGGACTGATGGATTTTCGTTTCTGTTTCTTCTTTTATTTCTTCGTCCAGAGCTCAATAATAATCCAATCTCTTATCCATGTATGGAAGAATGAATTAATGGTGAATTGCCTATTAGCGTTTTTTTTTTGTGGGAAAAGGAGTGGTGGTTGGCTGGATACGTTGTGTGCGGTAGACTTCGCAGTTTTGGTCGACGATGTAGCTGAGTAAACATGTTGGATGAAGCATGAAATCGGGGAAGTTGGGTTGAGGTTAGGGTTTAGGGATACGGTCTGCGTACCCCCTCCCTGTTCTATTTAACTTACTAACTTGTGATCTCGCGAAGGGCGGTCCGGTGTGTGGGGCGGCTTTTTTTTTTTTTTTTTGTGCTTTTGGTCTTGTAGCTGGCAGCTCGCTGTGCCTGCCCAGGCAAGAGGTACTTTTGAAGGCGTCTTGGCGCGCGTATGTCTAGGGGCGGTAGGCAACGAAGCCGCAACTGTTTTGCGTAGCATTGTTGCGGCTTCAAGATAGATAGTGTTGGCGAGCACGTGGGGTGTTGCTGTTGTATGGGGGTGTTTGTTTCGCTACCGTTGGTGTGTAGGTACGTGTGTTTTTTGCGGTGATCCTTGTTCCGTTTCATTTTGCCCCCCTTCCAAGAAATCGAACGAGATGCTGGGCACGACCTGCCAGCGGTGCTTGTGTTTTTTTTTTTGTCTTGTGCGACGTATGTACGTGTGAGAGCAAGAGGCTGATCGTCGTCGCTACTTCTCGAAGAGGGTGGTTGCTTTTAGCATGTCGGGTAACCGGGCGTCGTGCCCAGGACCGTTATTTACACAACCATCACGTTTTTCTCTTGTTCGTCACCCCTTGTATCTATTCGTCAGACAACGCCTTTTTTTTATCATATAATCTATTGTCGTCGGAAAACGCGTTTTTTATCTTATTCTTTTTCTTAATACTTCGAAGTACTCACACAATAAACTAAATAAATCTCTATCCATAGATGAGTGTCGAGGATAAGCAACTTTTTGTCACCCCTTGAGTCTCGTCGTCGGGTTTTGTTGTTTTTGTCTCCTGATAACTCTTTCTCGAGCAGGCGGCCATTGAAACGGTGGCCCGGAAGCGAAAGGCGGCAGCGGCTTCCTCGGCTGCCGCACCGGGGACGACATTGCCGTGTCCCCTGGTAGGACCACCTCCTCCGGCGCACGCCACCTTCGTCCCCGTCCGCCGCGGCCTGCTGTACAGCCCCGTCGTCATGAGCGCCGTACGGATTGTCCTCTCCAGCTACGCCGACAAGGTATGACAGGCGGGCGGGCGGCTAAATCTATCTACCACCCCCGGCAAGACTCTCGCTGTGTTAATTCTTCTTGGTGTGGCTAGCAATGGCTGCTGCGTTTCGCGCATCAAGTTTCTGTTTTGTTTCGTTTTTGGTTGCTGTCTACCACGTACGTATGCACGACAACAGCCAGCCGCCGTTTGTTTCTCTGCGGTTAGGCAACGGGCCCTTGCCGTTGCTATTGCTGTCTCGCAGCGATCGCGGCATCGCCGTGTTATCCATTAATTTTGGTACCTATGCACAAAGGCACAAAGCTGTATAAGTCAACAGCGTTCAGCCCCCCCCCCCCCACACACACTACCAATTCCTGGCCGCAGACCCCCGGCAAGTTCTCGGACCTGCTACTTGCGAGGACGCTGCAGATCATCACCCTCCAGCTCCACGGCCTGCAGAAGGACCCGGAGGACCACGAGCTGCAGGGCAAAGAAAGCGGTCGCAGCAGCGGTGCCGCCGGCGGTGCATCCGCTGTCGATGCCAGTGGCGGCGTTGAGGAGACGAAGCGCAGCGGAAGCGGCGGCGGCCGCAGCAGAAGCAGCAGCAACAACCACGAGAGCGCTTACTTCGCTTCGGTGTTGCGGCGGCAAGAAGCATCCGTGGGCGGAGGCGAGAGAAACAGCCTCGATGCTTCGTGGGTGTTGACCGAAGGAGCTTCCGGCGACGGCGACGGCGACGGCGACGGCGGCGGCGGCCGCACGGTTAGCAGTGGCGGGGGGGGCGTGGCCAGCGTGTGCGAGGCGCTGGGGAGGGTGGTCCACACCCACGGCGCCCTGGGCACGCTTTTCGAGGACGGTCTCCAGTGGATTGTGAGGGAGTTCGCCCGCCGCAGCCCCGTCTGCCGTGAGACCCTTGGCCGCCTCGGCGCCCTGCCTGAAGAGACCGTAACCGCCGCAGCTACGGTGGGCGGCGGTGCTGCCGGTGACAGGGGTGTGGCCGGTGGGGGCGGCGAAGAGGTGTCGGCGGCGGCGGCGGCGGCCGGTGGGAGGGTGGGAGGAGGGCGGAAGACGGGGGCGGCAGCACTGGCGGAAAAGAAGAAGAAGATGCAGGTGTGTGGGTGCGTGTGCGTGCTTCTTGGAAGTAGCGGTGTGTACGTGCATGAGAGAGAGAGAGAGAGAGACAGAGAGGCAGCGAGAGGCACAGAGAGAGACAGAGAGAGACAGAGAAAGAGAGACAGACAGAGAGAGGCAGAGAGAGAGAGAGAAACACACACAGAGACAGAGACACAGAGACGCAGAGAGACACACACACGGGGTTCCGCGTGATGTGCTGTGTGTCTGTCTGCGTGACTGCCTGCATGGTATGCTGCATACCGGAAGCACGAGTGCCTACAGAGGGGGGGAAGTGCGAGTGCTACTCATGCTGCTGTTGTGCCGGACGAGAGCAGCCCAGAACTTGCAACTTGGGGGCGAGCGCATGGTATGATGGTGCACCTTTGAGGCAGGGAGGCGTTGCATTAGTTGGGGCGCGGAACGCGAAAAAAACGCGACTCCGGCTCAAGAACGGAGGGAAGAACGAAAGGCCACGTTTGATGCCGAAATTTCCAACGAATTTTAGCGTTTCGCGTTGGCTAGCGAGATAGAGATGGATTAGTGCGTGTCTCGTTCCTCCTCGTTTTCCCACTCCGCCAACCCCACTCAACAGAAAGTGAGTAAAATAGTCGTTGTTCCACTCCGTCAAATCCCACTCAACAACAGAAAGTGAGCACCAACCGTTTTCCCACTCCGCCAATCAGAACGTGAGAAAGTAAATAGTGGTTTGCTCACTTTCGCCGACCATCCAACAGAAATTGAGTACAACCAACGGGTGATGTTTTTCGACACGGCGTTGCCCTGACGGTCCGTCTCCACCCGACCCGACCCCTCGCGCTGCCTGCCTGCCTGCCTGCCTGCCTGCCTGCCTGCCTGCCTGCCTGCCTGCCGTCGCGGGTCGTTCCAGGCGATGGCCATGGAGGCCATGCGCAAGCGGCAGGCGGAGTTCATGAAGCACGCCGGCCTTGGGGGTCTCTCGGACGAAGAGGAGGACGACGATGGGGGCGAGGGCGGGAACAGCAAGGCCGACGGCGGGACGGCTAGCCAGGTACATGCATGTCGTCGTCGTTGTTGTCGTTGTTGTCGTTGTTGTTGTTGTTGTTGTTGTTGTTGTTGGCGGTGGTGTTGTAGGTGTATGGCGGTGATGGTGTTGATGTCGTTGATGTTTGTGGTGTTGGGTGTTGGTCTTGTTGGTGGTGTTGGTCTTGTAGAGCCTCGAGAAAGTTCACTCACCCCTCCGTTACGTTACGTGTACAGTTAAGTACCCCTCCGAAGCGGTTGACTTGCTTCGCTCTCCCCGTGCCTGGTAGTCGACGTTCGACCGCCCGGCGTGCTCTGTCCCGTCCCGGATTTGCAGCGGGTACGGTGCGGTACGGCACTGCTGTACCATACGAGGGGCAGGGCATCTGAATCTAGGCGTTTCATTAAGAAGCAGTGGTAGGCTATGTTACGGTACGACGAGCCATCCCGTCCCCGATTTGCGGCGGTAGTGTACGGTACGGTATGATACGGTACGAGGGGCAGGGCATCCAATCCAGGCGTCGCTTTAATCGCTCCCGGCCTCGCTTCACCCCCTGCCAATTTGTGCTTCTCTCCCGTTGCTCTCTGTTCAAACCTTGGCCCGTTTGTTGTGGTTCCGTTTTCTGTGTCGGGGTTCCGCCGCTTTTGAAACGGTACAAAAAATGTTTTGTTTTTTTGCCGAGCGAAGGCCGACGCTCGACGCCACGCGCCGCCTTCCATGGAGGAAGGGTCGCCGGAGTGCATCATGTGCCACGAGAGGAGCGGAAGGTATGGTACGCAACACAGCACGGCATGGTGTTGTTGTTGTTATTGCTGTTGCTGTTGCTGTTGTTGTTGTTGTTGTTGTTGTTTTTGTTGTTCTTGTTGATTTCCATTGTGATGTTGTTTCGATGAGCGTTTCTTTTGTGTGTTTTTTAGTTTATGTTCTGGCCGTGTTACCATGTTTTTGTTCTGACCGTGATCTCTTCTATCTCGTCTACCTCTCTCCTGCAGCTTGATGGGCTACCTGGGTCTGGCGCAGAGGTCACCGGTCCTGGGCACCGGCGTCGCCGGTAACCCTCACAGGGGCCTGTTGCGGCGCCAGATGCGCATCGTTGGGAACTACGGTTGCCAGGTGCATGCTGCCCGCCTTTTCCACCTCTCAGCAATAGAACAACTGTATCTAATCCCAGCCCTCGAAATACACTTCCGAAAAGAAAAAACCGTCGTGGAGATGTGTTTGCGCCGCGCCCCATACATATGAACGTTAATGTTTTGCTACTGTTGGGTATGTAGTAGTTGGCCTAGTTGGCCTGTAACCGCACCGAAAGCATCCGCGTCATCTCAACCGGTACGGATATTGGATGGCATTGGCCATGGAACAAAAAACGTTTTTTTCGGTCAAGACGAAAAAAGCAGCACCACCAGCAACAACAATGAGAACCCTGGGGGGATGGATGCATCAAGATTATTTGGCTCCTGTTCCATGATCTACGGATCTACGGTACACTTTGTGTTCGGTCATCACCAGATACACGCTTCCTGTTAGCCGGCAGGGTTTCTACTGCACCTTTCATTCTTTTTGCGTCTAGAACTAGTCTATCCCAACCCTGTGGGTGCGAAAACGTAATTTTTTTTTTTCAATGTTCTGTTTTTTGTATCTCTTTTTTTTCTTTCTTGTGATTGGGACAGATGCGGCGAGGGATCGACGTGAGCAGCGAGAAGGTCAAGTTCTTCCCTCCGGGCGGAACGTGCGAGGTGAACTGAGATATATCTAAGAGAGAAGTCAAGTCAGTTCTTGTGCATACGGAGGAGCGTTGTTGTTTTGTGTTGTTTTTTTTTCATCCCATTTTTTGTACATGTATCGATTCAGCGCTCGCTGTTTCGGACCACCTTGTATTTAAGCCTTGCTCGACCATAACTCAATATCTCCGCTCCGAGGTGAAAAAGAACTAATTGCGGAGAGGAGTGTTTATTTTCATTTCTCCAAAATACGAATTCATCGCTCGCGGTGTTAAGGACCACTTTACTTATACGACCTTGCCTAACTCCAAGGGCTCGAGGGCTCCGATCCGGGGTCATACACACAGGAATTCCGCTGTGAGGTGCATGTTGCGTTGTTATGCATTCGGTGGTCAGCCTACCTACCCCTGTACTTTTTTCAGCAAAAATGGACTCCGGCAGGCGGGTGCGCTGCGTTGATCTTCTTAGTTGCATTTTCACTCATGCCACCTCCGCCCAATATGAATTGAGCAATGACCTCTTGACGCCAGGTGTGGGTGAGAGAACAGGTCGGCCGGGGGTGCGCAGGATCGATCCTCCAAACTGCAGTTCCACTCATCACGCCACCGATCCGCCCCCCCCCACCCCCCGTAAAGTATGATGACACCTATTGGCCCTATTGTTGGTGTTGGTGAGAGAGCAGGTCGGCAGGCCGGTCCGCAGCGTCGATTCTCCCAACCGCATTTCCACTCATCATCTTGCCACATCCCCCCCCCCCCCCCCCGGAAAAAAACAAATTACATTTTAGTT